TCAAGTCAAGTTAAAAGAAATTAAATTAATTAATAGAAAAACTACAGGTGGTTTAATTTTGATTTAAAAATTATGTATTAGATATTTTTATGCGTGATGTAATTTTGTTTTTAGTTTTTATTTTTTTTCATAGTCTATAAAATATTTAATTACAAATCCGTATATATGCGGGTACTTATCCAGTATATACAGTAAAACCTCTATAATTAATAATGTCGGAACTATGATATTTTATTAATTTATTGTGATATTAATTTATCTATAAATTATTAATTATTAATTTATAAAGAAATTTTTTTTCGCTCATCTTCTTCTTAAAGTTTCTTTCAAATGATGTTATATTTAAGAATATAAACTCATATGCTTAGAAAATATAACATGCACCAATTTAAAATTATGATTACTAATCATAGCAATCGCAATAGAATAATTATTTCTATTTGTTAATTGTGAATTGAATTATCTATGTAAAATACAAATGTTCATTAGTACAAAATTAATAAAAAAATCATGGCTATTATCCTTAATGTTGATACTAAAATTGAAGACAATAACATATTATTTTTTGAAACAGTTACGCATAAAAAAAAAAAATTATCACATCTAAATTTTTTCATAAATTTTGAATAGAGATAAAAAAGCAACATTAAAAGCTATTGATGTAAATAAGTAAAGAGATTTCTTTTCAATAAAATTTCAACCTTAAATAATAACAAACAACACATTAATCATAGTTTAGTATATTATATCTTATATATACTTATATATTTATATAATTATTAATTTATGTTTATGTTAGTACATAGAAGTTTCAAAAAAATTATTATCTTATTATCTTATCGAATTTGATGAATTTTTTATATTGGCCCGATTCGGAATCAGAAAAATTTATTATTTTATAGTGATTATTAATTTATCAAATATTAATGTATAGAGATTCTACTATATATATATGTATATATATATAAGAGAAATAGCAAACAGGTTTAGAGCAACGATGAAGCAAACCGAAAATATCAAGAGAAAAAGAAGAAGATCTACGTCAACATCTTCCTTACCTCTCAACCTAGCCTTAGAGATATTCTCAAAGCTGCCCGTAAAATCTATCCTGAGGTTTCGTTGTGTTTCGAAGTTTTGGTCATCAATCATCACCGAGCCAATTTTCACCAAGTCGTTCCAAACTAAGGCAAGGCTTTTACTCTTCTGCAAAGAAGGTGATGAGTTCTTTGTTTTCTCGTTTCCTCAACACACAGGCCCGGCCGTGCCTATGTGACTGAAAAAGAAGCATTGGCCTACGGGTCCAAATTTCATTAAAAAAAAAACAAATCCAAGACCCAACATAGAATAGGTGACAGCAGATTTTAGTTAAATATTAAGCCCAATATTTAACTAACAAAAAATTAGAGTAATAACTAATGATGATAAATTATTGGCCACTTAATTAGACGATGTGTTTTAACTTTTTTCTAAAAAATCCCACATTGGTAAAATGTTAGCATAACTAACTCTTTTTAAAACTATATATACCTTTCATTATTTGGAATAAGATACAATAATTTATTCTCTTTATTCACGATAATCTCTATATTTTTTTCCTATTTTAGAAAAGGTGAGATTTAGTTTAAAAATATAGGTATCATAATTTTTATACTTTTCTCGGTCTTTTGGCTAAGATAAAGTGAAGTATTTGTTCTTATCGGTTTAATATCTAATATGTGGGCTATCGGCTCACATGATATTCTCTCTATCATATTGTTGTTTTTTTTGCTAATTTTTTGTAATTTTTTTTTCAGATGTCTCCGAACAACTTAAAAAAAAAAACCATTAAGTGGATTTGAGAAAAGAAAATTTAAACAAAAAAGAGAAGAAGAAAAAAAAATCTCAAGGGAATGCTTTATTCAAGTACTTCAAAAAAACCTAAAACTCTGGATAATTTTGGAGTTGGTTAAAAGTGTTGACTCTGAAAACTTGGTTAATGAGTTTGTTGCAAATAAGGGAAGAAAATTTTTGATTTAAGTTTTGTTATCCTTGTTTTTTTTTATTATGTTTTTTTATTGGTTTTATACGAATTGAGACGATAATAGTTATTATTTATTCAATTTTATATAAATTTAATAAGATGAGGATCTTTTTTTAAAGTTCGTTTACGGGCTTCGTATCTCTGGAAACGGCTCTGTCAACACCATATTCTTATTCATCCTCTCAGCCTATTGATACTTACCATATGACATACCCAAAACATTGTTCCTTCAAAGATCAAAACGGAGTCAGTCCATGGCTTGATCTGCTTTCAAAGATCAGCAGACTCCCATAGTCTGGAACCCTAGCACGAGAAAGTTCTTGCCTCTGCCCAAACCGGACAAGACCTGGAAGGACATAACAGTCTTTTTAGGATACGATCCTGTCCAGTGTAAACAAAAAGTTGTGTGCATGTCTCTGGTCCTCATAACTCATTAGATAAAGAGTACTGTCGGGTTTTAACATTAGGATCAGATCAACAATCATGGAGAATCAAATACAGCCATAATCATTCTCCCTTCACTGGCGATTGCAAAGGTGTTTATGGACGATGCATCAACGGGTTCTATATTACCGTGCTGAAATTGGTTCCTATAGGGTTATAATGAGCTTCAATGTAAGATTGGAAATTTTCAATATGATAACAACTCAATGGGATACGTATTGGAGGATGATGATGATAGCTTATCATGGAAAGTTAGCTTGTGTTGGTTCGAGTTGGAATAGTATTTCGCTGTGGGTTTTGGAGGATGCGGAGAAACAAGAGTGGTCGAATCATATCTTTTTACTGCTTTCTCACTATGATCAGGGTTTGCAAAACTTCCACTACAAGAAAAACACCGTTTTACAACGGCCAAAATCGTCATTATTTCGTCGTAATAGGACTATTACGACAGACTACCGACGATTTCAAAATCATTGTAAACTCATCGTCGTAATAGACAAATCGTCGTAAAATCGTCGTATAATCTACGACGGTTTTTTTTCGTCGTAACATCGACGGAAAAAGATCGTCGTAAATGCGTCGTACAGTTTACGACGACTTTACATCGAATTGCCTCGACTTTTCATTGTGTATGAGATTCATTGTAGTTTTCATTACTTAATTTCTTAACAGCTGCAGGAAAAATAATTTACATAGACTTATAATGGCAGAGTAAAGAAAAGAAACATAATTTGTTTTCAGACTTATGAGAAATAAGGTAGTTGGTACAAAAAATCAAGGAGAAGACGTAAAAGTTATAAAGAAAACGTGAAAGTTTGTAAGTTGAAGGAGGAGAAAAAACGCTAAGTTGAGGAGGAGAAGAAAAAAATGGCGATAGAATTCTGTAAATTGAAAAAAAAGTTTTAAAAAATTAATTAAGAATTAAATATTATGAAAAGGAAAGTAATATATTCTCTAGATCTGCTCCTAGATTTTCGGAAATTCATTTAACCGAATTGTAGAATCGGTATTCTATAATGGAAAATTCTTGGGTTCACCTCTAGGGGTGAATTCATTCATTCATCCTCTTTCATTTAAGCCAATGAGAATCTGCCATGTAATATTATTTTTAAAGAAAAATAAAAAATTAAAATTAAAAAGTTAAATACTCAATCAAATATTTTGTTAAATATATATATATATATATATATAATATATATAAAGATTCGAATTTACGATTTAATTTTTATTTTAATTTTTTTAAAGTTTATAGATTATGATTTAGAGTATAAAAATTAGAATTTTGGATTTAAAAATTAAAATTCATAGATCAGGGTTTAAAATTTTGAAAATAAAACAAATAAATATATAAATATATATATATATATATATATATATATATATATATTAAAAATAAATATAAATAAAATATAATATTATGCTTGGGTTCACTATTTCTAATTTAAGTTTTAGTTTTTCTTTATTTAAAATTCCAAAAATAAAACAAATAATTATGTAAAAAAAAAATTTTTATCAAAACTAATTTTACATAAACTATGTTTGGGTTCACTATTTCCAAATTAGGATTTAGTTTTTTCCATTAAAAAATAATGTAATATTATGTTTGAGTTCACTATTTCATTTTTAGGGTTTAGTTTTTTTTCATTTAAATTTTGAAAATAAAACACATAATTATGTAAAAATATATTTTTATTAAAAATAATTCATCATAAACTTTAATTTTATGTTTGGGTTCACTATTTCCAAATTAGGCTTTAGTTTTTTCCTATTTAAAAAAAATATATTTGAAATATACTATTTTGGTAAGTTACTTTAATTGATTTTATTATATGGCAGATTCTTATTGGCTAAATTGAGAGGGGGTGAATGAATGAATTCACCTCTAGGGGTGAACCCAAGAATTGTCCTTCCATAATTGTAGAACAAAGGGTTTCCGTAGAAATGAAATTCTACTAAGTTGTAGAACAAAGAGTTTCTGTAGAAATACAATTCTACTAAGATGTAGAACAAAGAAGGAATTATAGAAATATCATTCTACTAAACTGTAGAACAATGATAAATTTATAGAATACGGTTTCATATCTTTGTAGAACATAGAAGAAATGTAGAAAACTAATTCTATATTTTTAGTAGAAAACTAATGAAATAGTAGAAAGCCTATTCTATAATTTATAGATTTAAGAATGCATTTTCTACTAATTCGGAAAATATTTATAAAACAAATGTTTTAAATTTTTTTAAAAAAATATTATGTTACGGAAAATGTCTTTGTAATTCCCTTTTTGATTTTTCCAAAATATTTTAGACTGTAAAACTATTTTTTAAAAAAATTTTGCCATTCTATAAAAGGGTATTTATGTCCAAAAGTGGCTAAATTTGAAAAAGTCTTAAGGGAACAATACTACTGTTTTTTTGTCCTATAAATATAATTGCCCCATTTTTTGTCCTATAAATATAATTGCCCCAGAAGAAAGTGTAAAGGGATCATTTGTATAATGATGAAGAGAAATTAGATGATCTCATTATTCTACTCTTTCTAACATTTGGATATAAATATATAATACATGATTTTTAAACTAATAAAACATAAATCAACAAGAAAATCTCAAATTATCCACTGCACAACCTAAAAAATGAGATCCTAGGGTAAAATTGGGGAATGTTACATACAGTATACATATACTGAATTTCTTTGGACATGAATTACGATATCATTGCCATGTTCATTATTATACTTTTTGTAGTTTCCAAATATTTCATATATGCTTCACTTGGGTCACTAGGCACAGAGCTTCATATAAAGACCACATTCAAATGAATGTTCGTTATACCTCAGGACCAGATGCGAAAAGAGGTATAAGCCCACGCAAGACTTGAGCTGACAAATGGTGAGCCTCAAAGATCTCTCCGTCCAAGTTCCACACACTCTCTTCCCCAATCGAAGTAAATGTGAAAGCTCGCGTCTGCGTATTCCCCAATACATTTCAGTAGAGATTATCAGAAACAGACCATGAACAAACCAAGATTTGAAGAGGAAAACAGATAACTTCCAAACCTTATGATATTCCACAAATTCGAAGTTCAAAGGTTCCCCGCCTTTTTTCGCAAGCTCGGTGAGGTGCCTGTGTAATAGACCAAGCAAGTATGTTGCTATATCATTGTTGCACCAAATTGTGTAAGAACATGTTCTGTGTTACTGTGTATGAACCAAAGTGTACTCCTGTTCTCTCAAGTGTGTGTATCTTCTATAGATGACAATGAAAGAAAGCAAAGACGAAGAAGACAAGGCCTTACCATAAGTACTTTGGACGTGAACAATCTTTGATGAGTATGAGATGTAGGAAACCGTCTGAGAGGTGTGCATCAACGACAAGACCATCAGGTGCTCTTTCATTTCGGTTTGACATCACTGCAGCACCTATACTCAGAAACCGCCCTCTCGTTCTACACCATCTTGCTTTTTCTAGCCACGAGTTTGGTGTTGTGCGCATGATATTCCCATCCTCTGCCTTACAGTTACAAATACTGCATTTTGCACGGCATAGTATTTTCTCCGATCTTGTTGTATTTCGGAATGGCCATGTCTTACTCCGCGTGTGTGGGGAAGCTTTAGCGTTCTCTGGTTCAGATTCTTCAAACATCACCTCTGCCTCATATGATCTTGCATTAACATGTAAACCAAAAGTTCAAAACAAAAGAGGAAAAAAGAAATACCAACGGTCATATCATAGAAGTTCCATTAGTGTTTAGCACATCTTGCAAGTTTAAATTGGTAAACATGTTAGGAACATACCTGTGCTTCAAGAATACTTTAGTTCCAACATAATCATAGCGTTTGGGACCCATCCACCGATATTTCTCACTTTCTGAAATGACATCACCATAAAACCCGTATCTGAACTAATCAATTGTACAAAAACTCTGTTAGAGATTGGAGCAATCATTTGTCATATTCACAGGCACTAATGGTTAAAGATATTGAGGTGTTTTATGATAAAAAACGAGAATTGCCACTACAATAAGAAGCCAAGTGAAGGATGAGAAATAACAGAATCTGTCATTCCTCTTACAAGAATGCAAACGCTGAAAAGGTTTTAGTCATTACCCAGCAAACGAGGCTGCATAACGAATATAAGGTTCAATCGTGGAGGTTGATGCCGTTTTCCACCGCACAACCTGCATTGCATCAAGGAAGAGCTTTCTACCTAGAATGATATGCAGCGCAGATGTAATAGGATCACGAGCTCCTGTGGTGCTGAAACACGACAGCATAAACAGTAGTTTAAGAACTTAAGCTTATTATACGCTAACTTTACATTCTTGAAGACGCACCCATTCTTTCAAATTTGTATGGAGCAGAAAAAGAAAAAACGACAGTAGAGATTGCAAATGCATATGCAGTCTTATTTATTTGGTAGGCAACTACAGCTCAATGCTGATACAAGTGAAATAGCTTCTCATTTTTGGCGCAGGATAATCTTTGCTAGTGGGAGAATGACTATGAGTAGATGATGATAAAGAACTCTACCATATAACTATTGCATCGGTTGAACCTGCCGGGATGAGGCCGAATCTAGGCCTTTCACCACTGAAGGGATGATCGGGATCTTCAATTCCTGCGATTGTCAAGGAAACCGTAAAGGAAGGGATTTGATAAGAAAGAGGGGAAACCAGACTAACGGACGCATACAATCCAACTGAATGTCCTGTAGAGAACAAAACAAACTAACCTTCAGATGAGCCGTTGAATGCCCCTGTAAGTTAATAGCAACACTTAGAGATTACAACTAGTTAACAGTCCCAGCTCTTGAACAAAGATAAGATAAAGTTGATTTAAATACATACTGCAATTCACGACCTCTTGCACTGAATCAGGAAGAAGAGGAGAGTGTTCCTTTTGGTCAGTCTCATGAACTGCATCTCCTGATTCTGGAACTGAGGAGCTACCTCTACTTTGAACATAATTGGAGGAATCTGAAGGACTTGGTGGAAGAGGGACTTCAAGTCTTGACAAAAGATATCCATTAAGGACTTCGTTGAAGAAGCCATCCCCACCCTGAACAAAATTTGATTTTTCATAATGACAATCATATCATGAAAAGCAGATATATGATCCACAACTTTATAAAGAAAGAAAAATGATCCACAAGTAAGCCCCATGAGGAAGAAATGTGACATCAGATATCTCGAGTGGAGAAGCTCCATTAAACCATAAGTTGACTCATAAATGTAATGAACTGGAGGTTGTGTTATATCACAATAATGTTTCACAAATGCACTTAGTGAATCAATCACTGCAATCGTTGTCAAAAGGTCTACTACTTACAACAGCTATGATGCCATCATACGAATGGAGCTCTTTGTTTTGGATAGATGCCATTACATCAAATGCATGTCCTGCTCGTTCTGTCACAATCACCTGATTTAAATGATAAATCAAGTAAATCAAACGAACAACCACAGCATGGACAGTGAGACAAACATTTATGTGTCTTTCTCTATGACAGCTATATCACAAGAAACTATGCAAACAATTGTAGGCAATGAATGTCTCATTTGGCCAATATATGGACAAACGACCTTGAATGGCAAAAATTGTGGAAGTCAAATTGCTTCATCTACCAAAAAAGAATATCATATATAACACTGCGCTCATTTGCTACAAATATAACGTATGACCTTGATAATCAAACAATATCTCTTGACCTTGATAAACCAAAAATAAAGCAAATACTGTACATTACATATTAAAAAACAATCTAAAAATGTTCTACTATAGCACAAAATCAAATCAGTTTTTCCAGTAAGCAAACTCGTGTGCCTTTTGTCATAAATGAATAATCTATAACAATTCTCTCTTAATCTAATTACTAAATGATCTTTCTGCCAGTGATGCAATGAAAAGCATACCTTCGTGTTAACTTTAGCGCGAATGAAAATCATGGAAACAGTTTCCCAGATCTTGGTGCCAGTTCCTTTGCCACTTTTTGGATGAACAAACACCTAAACAATGGCAAGCAATCCTGTCAAAGCATTGATACAAATAGGAGCAACAGAGTGCTAGAACCTGAACAGAAGAAACATTTACCAAAAGATTTCTTGGTCTTTCTACTTCCTTGATCAAAGAGTAATTCAATTGATCCAGCCAACTCTGGCACGTCTGCAAATTCATATGGCCAAAAGTGAATGCCGCAAGTTTCCAAAGACAAGGCTCCTTTGGTGAACATTGATATCCATGCACAGTGAACCGATACATCTACATCCAAAGCAGAACTCATTACACTGTAATCTCAAGAACAAAAACAACCTAACTATAAAAGAAGTGAAACAAATTTTTTTTTAAAAAAAAATACCTCTTGAGTATTTAACAAACGTTCCCGGAAACATTCTTTGGCATGTCCAAGGCCTAACTTTGAACTATGCACCAAGCCATAGTTAGCAAACTCCACAGCATAAATATCAGAGAATTTGATCTCAGTTTTGAAATTCTCTGAGTTTCTAATTCCCAAACAAGTCGTTCCCTCCTGTCATCATAGAACCAAAAAAAATCGCTCTTTTAGGCATAATAAACCACTCACACCAAATTTAAGAACTTTCTGATTTAATACGTAGTAACAAAGAAGGAGAAGCTCCATTGATGTTGCATCTCGCAGCTCTAACATCGACACTAATTTGTATAAAAATGGACAATTCATGCACATATGATGAATTTCGAAAAAAACCCAGAAAGATTTAAAGTCAACGAAAACAGTCGTCTGATTAACGGGAGAAAGCATGAAGCATATACCATTATCGACAAATCTTACACAATCTGAAGAATCCAAGCATTTCCAGGACAAACCATCTTGATTCCGAGAAAGCAAAACTTCGCCAACATGATCCAAGAAAAAACACCCGCTCATGACAGACAATCCGCCGTCGGGATCCACGTTACTGCCGGAATCGTCGTCCAAACCAGAAAAACTGGAATCCTCATGCTTTTCTTCCATTTTACTCGATCAAAACCAAATCGATACTGCTTTTCAGCTTCCGAGATTGAAAGTTCCCGGAAGAAAAAAAAGGTAACTCCAAATTGGATTTTAGTAGTAAGAACGTCAATGATTTTTATATTTTGTTTTCCGACGAAAGAACATAAAATGATTTGAAATAGTTATAAGAACTAAGAAGGAAGATGCAGCATCAGAGAGAGAGGATTTGTAGATCTGATTGGAGAATCATGGGCTAATTAAAAAGTTAGGCCCAGCCGGGCTTAATATATTAAAGTCTCTTTTTTTTCGTCAATTTTTGATTAAAAAATAAATAAAAACAGTATGTAGATGAGTATAGAGTTTCTCTATCGTCTCTATATTATTATTTGAATAAATATTTATATAAATAAACATTTATTTGTAAAATATTACAGAATATTTTATATAAATGAACATTTATTTATAAAATATTATATAAATCAATTTTTACCTATAAAATATTACATAAAAAAACTTTACAATAATATAACGCTCACTTAAATATTCCTTCGTAAGACATAGTTAAATATAAAGCTCAAAAATTTATTTTGAATATATATGGATATAAATCAAAAATATATTTAGGTTTTTTACTTATTAAAATATTAAAATATATTCTATTGGTTTAAAGAATAATCAATCCATATATATAAAAAAAAATTTTATATTTTTTGTTGAATAATTTTTACTACTAATTTTACTAAAATTAAAAATTAAAATTAAATTTAAAGATAATTTAAAAAATATTACCCCGCACAATGTGCGGGTTAATTCCTAATTCATAAAAACAACATTAGTCAGATTCAAAGCATTAACCTTTTGGAATATAAGTAGAAGAACATATAAATAAGAATATCATCAAAACCCGGTAACTTCAGTGTCAAAACCCAAAACTATTAGCACAACAAAAATATCTATCTTCTCGGGGAATTCTGAGAAATGCAACTTTGAGAACTGAGTATATTGAGAACTGAGTATATTATTGAATGAAAAAGGAAAATAGTTGTCTTGTTTTTTATTTTCTAATTTTTGTAGTCTTGTACCAAAAAAAAAAATAAACCTGTGTAAGGATTGTGAGGTTTTGAATAGCTTTTTACTTAAAAGCAGAAAAGAAAAGGTGGGGAAAAAACGATCACGAGCCAATACGCTTTTCTTATTTTTTAGCTCTGTGCGAGAAGAAATAACGTTAACCAGAGCTTTTTTATAAATTAAAATTAAGCATAAAAATTTGTATGTATTAAGAAAAAAAAATGAAATGACTTAACACAAGATACATTTGCTCAGAAAGATGCTCTCCGAATAACTAATGGTAACAAATGGCCAAAGCAGATGAGCAACTTCCTCCATAAACGCTCCATGCCAATATCCCTAGTTTTATTACATCACACCACTTACCCAAAATTGTTAAAGTAAGCACACTTGAACAAAATGTTTCTATGATTAGTCTTAATTCAACATCTTATCCAAGAAAATCGAAAAAGAAACAGCTTCTTTCTTAATGCAGAGTCTTGCAGACAATGCTGACAAACAAATATGAAACACAGAAACAGTGACAATAAGTCCTCAAACCCTACTTATTAAAAAGCTTTGTATCAAAAATAAAAAATATTTCCAGAGACATGTTTCATGAAGTAAATGAATCCTCTTACTAAGTTAAATATCTTAAACAACCACCAATGCTATGTAATGCCGACTCCTAATACACAGACTTTGAAACATATATATATACACTTGGACAGATAAAGATAAAGCTGAGTATAATAACAATGGCATTAAAGTTAACTGGTATCACTAGACGGAATTCACACTTATCACATGTAAGCTTGAGATATATTATATCATAGATATCAGTGTTATAAGATTGCATTAAGGGGCAGAATGATCAAAGTATTCAACATACACTGCTGCCTTCATGTTCATGTGAAACTGATAGATAATAATTCTCTATGCACACAAGATATGAGATAACAAAAGAGAAAACCTCAAGAGCAAGAGGATCATATCTTGCATCACAATGAATAATAGATATGTTTCGCACTACAATACTACTAAAAGTTTCAAGTTCCAAAATTGAAAAAGTACAGAAGCAAATGTGAGTAAATGAGAGAGCTCAAGACAGATTCAACACACTGGTCACCGGTAAATATGAGTATTAATTGTGAAATAAAACATGAACCCTGAGACAATATATAGTCCTACAAAAGAGCAGCTTTTATCAGTAACATGAATAAATATCTTATCAGCCTTCTGAAGCGCAACTGTATGGAATTTGAGAAGCTTCCATCCTGAATCTGTGCATATTTCACAACAGCATAGCAAGGGTTAAGATGTGACTCCTAAACTTCCAACAAGAAAGGTGTAAGAAATTATGGTACAAAAGCTCCAAGAAACATCACGCCTAAAAAGAAAAAATTAAACAATAGGAAGAACACAAATATTTGTGTTAATAAGCCGTATACAATAACTAGGGGCAGTTTAGATCTAGTCAAATGGAAACACTGAAAACAAATGCATCCTATATGGTCAGAAAACACATTAGGAGTTACTTTATATAAATAAAGAGTAAAAAGAGTATTAACAAAAAAAACACAGGTTAGATTGATAAACATTCAAACATCCAACTCCCGAATTCTATGTTTCAGTATCGGATACCAGAACAGGTGCTCCTTTAGCTGTGGGATTGCTAACAAACACACCAGTGCCCAGATTAATGAGCTACAGCAATTAGTTATCATGTGACAAAATTATAAACAGAGAAATACATAAAAGAAACATTAGTATAAAAACTTTTATGAAGAACAAGGAAGGAAACAAGGCAGTTGTATCTCACAACATGCTCGACTTGGTTTGTCCTGCAACTGCAAGTCTAAAAGCTGATGTTGGGAAAAAGTATTTCTTAAAACGTAGGAAAACTTTGAGTATGAAAAGTTTTTAATATATGCTAATGCCATATAATTCAATTTCAAAATTGAGCTTCAATACTTTTAGGGAGAACAAGACAAAAACATCAAATGAGGACATCTTACCTTCTCCCCTAAGGAGTTTCTCCTCAGAACACACATGCTACTTCATCTCAGCCATGAACTTCTCATACTCAGAATCTCCAACAGAGGATGAATTCTCCACAGGTGGCTGTGCTGGAGGCTTGGGAGCCAAAGGTATGTTCCCCATGCTCTGCGAATATCCAGCAGAGGTGGCATAAGAGGATTAGGTGCCCAAGGTACATTACCTAGACCTTTTGAGTGATCAGATGTTGACACAGGAGGATTCACTACAAGAAATTTGAGTTATTGTGACGAAATTTTGATACAGAAATTATTCGTCATAAATTTGTTACATTTTAGATACAATATCGTGAATAATTTTCTTTGTCACAAATAAGTAGCATTAGCATTTTCATCCCAATCTTGTGACGTTCTTAAATTATAGCCAATTTTAGTTACAATTAGTGACAAAATTCTGACAAAGATAATAATCGTAACAATGGTGACAATACTATGACTAAATATGTTGTTAATATTTTGTTATGAATTAGTGATTGAATGTATAGTCTCCATTTATGACAATACAATGACTAAACGCTAGTTATAATTTGGTTTGAATTGAAGACAAATAAAATTGTAATCAGTTACAACCAAAATACATAATTAGTCACAGTTAGTTATGCAATAGCTACAAAACTACGTTGAATCAAAATCTTCTCATTACTTCCTAAAACAAATGATTTCTAAAGTATGTAACACAAAAAAAAAAACGTCTTATAGTCAAATTAAAGAATCCTGAATCTTTTTAGATTTAGCGGCCTATCTTGAACCACGTTGCAATCAAAGATGAGCATGATCGTATATCTAACTTCGAGTCAGCACTCAAATCCAAAACTCACATAAAAAGGTAGAAACTCGGACGACACCAAAATAAAAATCAACAAACAAATCACAACGATGTTGTTCCGAAATTCTATCCAGCAAGGTAAAAAATCTGGATTCTCTTCCGTTTACTCGTTTTCTAAATCTGTAAACTTTCGGTATGCTAGTCGTTTGGCGTTTGCAGGGAAGAACAATCTGAGGACTTTGAGACCTAGCTCAATTTCTCGGTATTAGAAGTGGTTGGTTATCAATGTCGCCAGATACATCTTCTAGTAGACGTTGGCTGTTTACCAGCAATCCTAACAGAAAGTGGTTTACCTTATAACCGGTAACCATTCATTGCCTGAACAGCAGTATTGGCCATCTGGACATCAGCGTACTTCACAAAACCATAGTCTTTGCTCAGACCAGACACGGTCCTTAATTACCTTTGCCATCACAATTTCACCAAAGGGTGAAAACAGATTAATCAAGTCATCGTCCTCAAGCATCGTAGGTAAGAACCCAATGTACAGATTTCTTTCGTCATATTCTTTGGAAGGTTTGGCCGGAATTAACCTTAAGTCAGGATGAGCACTTGCCCCACTCCCCGCATTGTTAGCCTACAAAGGATTACTTCCCGTACCAAGAGCCAAGGTAGGACTCTGTTTGAGAGAAGATTCAGGGACAATTCCTCCCAACTCTGCCAAAAATTTTTGATATTCATCATGCATTTTCTTCCCAGTTGTACTCTTCACTAGGCAATCAATAGTAGGGTGTCCACCATCACCACAAATCTTGCAAAGAACATCAATTTTAAAGGTAATTGTACGAGACGGACACATATATTGTCTATGTCCTTGCTCACCACACAGCCTACAGAATTCTTCATCTCTTATCAATCCATTCAAGGTGGCAAGCTCCCTGAGTTGTTGCCTCTTGTTTTCATTCAGCACCTCATCAACAGGTTGCAACAGCTTCTCAACCATACCAGCAGCAGCTTCAAGAGCTTCCTGAGTCTCAGCCTCGACTAAAACATGCAAGTCCTCATTTTCCGAAGGGTCATATTTCAAATCCTTTTTCTGCTGGAGCCTACCTTCTTTTACAGACCCTTTTCCCCGAATCACAATCTTAGCACCTGTTTCCCTCTCCATTCTCTTTTGAGTATTCCCCCTGGGACCAATAATAAGACCGATGAAATTGTAACCCGGAAAATCCTTCATCGGAATGAAAAGCTTCTTCTGGAGCTTAGGAGGCCTATAATCCGCCGGAGGTTTAAAAGCAGGGTTCTTCTTAATGATCTGAGAGATGATCTCTTGTCTTTCTCTATTCAACCTCTCTCTCACTCTGTACTCTCTAGTGTTTATCCTAATTCCCATGTTATCATACACAGGTTCTGGTGAAGGAGACCTTTGTCCTTCCGGTCTATCATCTAAAGCCATACCAGACTGCAACATCCTACTGATCTCAAGTAACCTACTATTCAAAGTTTGAATCTCGGGATCAAATTCGATACCACTGGCGAAATCCTTCATGAAATCAGGTAGCTGTATTACCGGTTTTGGCTCATCATCTGCCCATCTAGACTTACGCTTCTTCATCCCAGTATTGGAATCACTACCGCCACCACCACCTTCGGTGATAGGGTTATTAACCAATTGAGTAGGCAGAGGATCCCACCGGCTCCGACGTTTTCTCCGGCTTGTGTTCTCTTCCTCTCCGCCAGATTGATCCTTGTTATCATTCAATGTCTTGCTAACAGCATTCTCCGATAATAAAGGTTGCAGTAATTCAGGCTTAGCTACAGAATCATTAATTTCGGGCAATGAACCATTAAAAGCTTCAGCAGTCAGAATCGGAGGTTTTGAGTGATCCATAATTATAAATAAATATTAATTAACTTTATAAATAAAAATGTGAAAATATAATTTTAATACAATATAGACATTTTGACAAAGCAATAACAAATAATTATAATCTTATAAATCCTTATAAGAAATCTTATAAATCCTTATAAAAACTTATAAACTCTTATAAGTAATCATATAAACCATAATATTTTGTTTGTATAGTAAATAAAAGTTTAAAACGTTGTTTAGATATAGATGAGATACATGTAAAACTATAAGGATCATTTTGCAAATAAATAAAGTTAAAAGTAAAATGAGGGGATGAATAGTGTTCCTTCAAATTTGATGTAATACTGTTCATAAACTGATGTTTTCCCTCAAAATGAAGTATCATTGAAGAAGAGTTTCCCTCATTTTTAGATGTTTTCCCTCAAAATGAGGGACCATTGGAGATGGTCTAAGTAATATAAATTTAAGATGTTAAAAAAAAAAAGAACAACAGAGACGGAACCAATAAATTCAAATAACACATAACATCCGCTTCACTTAGTGTCTTCTGCCGCCGCTGCAGCTGTCTCCATTTCCGTCGTCTCCTCCTCCTCCACCTCCAATCTTATTTTTCGAATCTTGGCTGAGACCAGTGCAGTTTCAGCCATCACATAAGCCTTAAAGTCTTTTATCTCCACTTCATTGTAATTTTCATCTTTTAGTGCTTTCATTTTCTCCACAGTCTTCTTTAACGTTTTAACTTATTGGGTGAGCTTAAAGTTCAGAAAGTCAGCACATAAACTGCTTGGAGAAGGACTTATGACAAGATGTCATGATTATACACTAAAATAGAGTTTGGACAGTACTCATAGCAGCAAGTCAGTTCTTTTAAAGTTTGTTTTGCTACAAATCCATAGAAAAGTTCTTTGGGGTACTCGTGTTAGCCTGTAACAATTTTATAACTTTTAAAGTCAAATTTTTGCCATGTTTTGATTTAGTTTTTCTTTTAAAGTCTCAACTATCCACTTTTTAAGATTAAAAAATGTATTAAATTTTACTAGAGAGATGCTGGATGTGAATCAATGGGCTATGATATGTCAGAGCAGTGCTCTTTTCCAAATGACCTTGTGATGAGGCAAACGACAATGACCTAAATCAATTGGACTTTGCATCCAAACTTTATAGAAATGATTTTTGTGAGATAAATTCTGAATCAATGGGCGAATGCGCGTGCGAGTGGTGTTTAGAAAGGAAAATTTTGGATGAATGTGAATTTGGTAATCCCAAGAACAATTTGACTAACGCTCAAGTCAAAATGGAGATGAAGTTTAGTCTCATATACAATATAATGATTAAAAAAATTTAAATAGTAAATGCCCTAAACTTGTACAATTAAGAAGGTGTCTATTCTAATTATGCAAAACTTATTTCCATTCAGATGTTCTTATTTTATGGTTCTAAGAAAACTTTAAGGTCTGCCTCAATTCTTAATATTCCTAATCTTTCAAATAATTTTTTATATAAAAATTTGTATCTACTAAAACACAAATCACTTGTGCAATTAAAAATTGATATGTGACGTATCATCTAAATCACAAAACAATTTAACCTAAAAAGTAAAAGAAAGTCACAAAATTAAGAAGTAATGAAAACTAGATTAACCGAAAACGTATTTAAAGCATTCCCTAAATTTCTCCCACTATATACCACGTTTTTAACCAACTCACTTTCTCTGAAGTCATCTTCCTCTAAATAAATAAATCACTACACCATGTCAATGGGATGAGTCTTTGGTTTCCCCTAATGTTTATGTTAAAAAAATTGCTCATACTTCGGTGAATGCTGATTTGAAATAGAATTTCAGGAAATTTGGAATGGTTACTAGCGTGATTGTGATGAGAGACCCAAATAGTAAATCTAGAAGATTTGGCTTTGTGAATTTTAAAAAATTCTGAAGCTGCGGTTACTGTGATAGAGAAGTTGAATGGGACATCCGTCCATGAAAAAAGTTGTATGTTGGGAGGGCTCAGAGGAAAAATAATATAGTTGAAGATTTGAAAGCTGAATTCAAATTAGAGAAGATAAAACAAAATGTGAGAGTGTTTCAAGGTTTGAATCTCTATGTGAAGATTCTAGAGGATTCAGTTAACGACGAAAAGTTTCAAGCTTTATTCTCTGAGTTTGGAACTATCACTTCTTACAAGGTCATCGTCCACTTGAATGGTATGAATGTGGGTTTGTTGAGTTCTCTACGAGCGAGGAAGCTTCTAAAGCGGTAAGTTTGTATAGTCTTGCCTTGCGTTTTTAGTTTTTTGTATTGTTGCCTTTATGATCAAGGACTTTACGACTTTAGTTTTTCTCTTTTTCTTTTGCAGATTTGCTCTTTAAAATATCAGTAGAACCTATACATTTGGTGAAAAAAGTAATAGTAAATAAAGGAGTGAATCACATTTTCTCTTCTTCCTTGATACTGACTCAATTATTGATTTGCCAGGAACATGTTTATATGTTGTGGTAGTGATTTTGCAGAGAACAAGGTTAAGAGGCTTACCTTGCGCACAAGTACAAAACTGGAAGAAGCTTAAGATAAATCACCACAACAAGAACAAGAAGAAAACAAAAAGTAAAATGTGGTGAAGACAATGAACAGGGGGCTAAGAAGCTCAGGTGGTAAGAAAATGCTTGAAGGACCCCATGTCTAGATCAAACCAAGGTTCAGGTTAATTTTCTATTATTTTTTTTTTTGTTATGTTCTACAAATGCAGCGATATTATTTTTGTTTGCTTTCGGATCAATATATATCTCGATTTTGTTGTTTTTAAACAATTTTACCAAATTTGTAGCTTCTCTCAGAAAAAAAAATTTAAAAACAAGTATAGCTTGAAGAAGCTAACAAGAGTAAGTATACATAGCAAGGGATGATTGGAAAAACAGGTTTTCTTCATTATGTAGTGTAATCTGTCCGTATCAAAACTATTTTGCTCCGCTTTATATATGTTAACGTTCACAAGTATCATTATGTTGATTGATGTTTGAGTCTATGAAAACATTGTCTAATACAAAACTTTCTTCCTATAGGATTCAAAATATAAGGGAAAATGTAAGCAAGTTTTCGTTTGAATTTTTATAACTAAATACAAAGCAATAAAAATGCAAGTGTTGTATTTTAGTGTATATTTGTCAAATTTAAATTACCAGTTTATCATATCAAACCAAAACAAAAAAACAAAACAAAAATTAATTACTGATCTTCAATTCGTGCAAAGTCTTCGACCGTGTGCCCAACTTTCTCGAACTTCCCTTTCTCATTACTCTCCCTAAACCTCAAATAATCCCCACACTTGAATGACCGAAATACCCTCTCACTCTCACAATCTCCAACGACTTCGTCAGGGGCAAACACGACTTTCTCATCGTCGAAGCACCAGAAAAACGCCAGTGAGAATCTGTTACCGACGAAACCACGCCGTTTCAATACAACCCTGTGTTGAGACGATCTCAGCCGTCCGTTGGTCCAAGCATGCAATAGATCTCCGACGTTGACGACAAGAGCTTCTTCTTTAGGGTTAATATCCATCAGACCCATCCCGTCTCTGGTTCTGACTTGAAGACCTCCAATGTCGTCTTGATCAACGATCGTGATGCAACTCATGTCCGTGTGCATTCCCAGCCCTTCGATCAAATCAACTTCGTCTTGATCATGTTCATCATCTTCTTGATCTTCTTGTAAAGGGATTGTGTAGTTGTTGATCCTGAAGTAGCCATGGCAGTTTCCAAACTCAGACTCGTAATATTTGTGATGAAGATCGTCTCCGAAGCTGGCAAGAATGGCTTTCATTATTTTCTCGCATAGTTCTGTCATCTTTTCTCCATATTCTTTCATCAACCCGCTTTGAAACAACAACAAAAATGATTAGAAAAATCGATATATATACACATATATAAGATCACTACGGGTCATATAAACTCATATTAACATTCCTAGTTAAAAGTTGAAAGACTTTCAAAAATGACTTTCAAGAATTAAGATATAATCTTTACATATATAGAACCAACTTTAATAGATTTAAGTTGTACCACTCAACTTTGCACCCAAAAAAAAAGTTGTACCGGTCACAACTATAATTATTATTTGTTTTACTTTTCGGAGTTTTTATCAGTAAACTGTCCGCAAAAATATATGACCGGCCGGTCTTCAGATTAGAACAAAAAAAACAAAAAAAAGCTGAAGCATAACCAGACAGAAATGGTTAAAACAGCTTAACATTCCTAAGTTTCACATTTTTAATGTATCACAAAGACACAAAGAATATATGAGTGCATGAATAAATGCTTGAATAGAATGCAAATATGCAATGCGCACTTATAGAATAAAGTGACCAATATTGGAATCAGGTTTGGGTTGTTTTTATTGGTGTTTTCTTGGGTTTTTATTTATTTATTTATTTCTGTTTGACAATCCTAAATTTTCACGACACCGTTCTACTAGTTAAATTGATGAAAAAAATACAAAAGTAAATGTTGATGCAATTTTTCTTTTTCTTTCTTTAGTAATGATCGATGAATTGATATTTTGGAAAAACAATTTGCATGAAATATTCTTTAGGACTTATGTAAAATTCTTTGTCGAAACGAGAAGGTACAATCCATTTCATAGGTCGCAAATCAATTAATTGAGACTTGAGAGGGCAGCTTAATTGGTTTCTAAGCTTTTTAATTGCTTGGTCAACAATTGATTTCTAAGGTTAACTTCAAGATAGATATATGGATCAGCTTTTTTTTAATGCAACCCATTTAATGACATCGTTTGGGGAATTGCCAAAAAAAAATATCAAGGAGTATATTTTAATAGAAACATAATTAATGTACGTAATTTATGTATACCTGAACTCTTCATCCATAGGTTGGTCGGAAAAAGCATCAACAGAAGACTTAGCCGAAGCGTAAAAATCGGGACCTGAGACACGGAGGCTTTCAAAGAACGGAGATGCGATGAAACGTGGAGTGTAGTTATACGCTCCCATCTTCATCTTCTCCTCGTCTCCTAGCTCGAAAACTCCGCCGGAGAATCGCCGGAGTTTCTTGTACATGTCGCCGGAGACGCCGTGGTTTGTCACGTAGAAGAAACCCCACTCTTTACACGCATCTTGTAGTGACGTCAGCGATGACTCGCTTAAAGGCTTTGAAATATCAAACACCGGAAGTTCCAAAGACATTTAATTAACCACAAATGATGATTATGAACGTTGCATATTTATGTTATGTGTGTGTATATATATGTGTGTGTGTAGAGGTAGCTGATTAATTACGGGATTTATCTTTGTTTTTTCAGAAGTGTAAAGTATTATATCCACTACACAATTCTTATATATTATGGTTGAAGTCTTGCATATAAATCAAGTATTTATTTCGTATAATAATCAGAAACTCTAACAGGTAATTAATCTTTGTCGTCGTTGCAATAATCAAAACAAACTACAGCCAATCTATTTTATTCTAATCATTTCTACATTTCAAGATGTTTTTTTTTCTTTTTGAAAGAAACATTTCAAGAAATTTGGTCGTGAAGACTGAAGAGAGTTGTGAATGATTAAAAAGTCGAGATTCTTATTCGACCGTTTTAGTGGGATTTTATTTATCGCTAAATTTGGGAGAAAATTGCTTAAACATTAAGATTTTGATAATGGTTAGACACTGCTTGCGTGAGAAAATGAGAATCCGATCACCCTAGAACATGTAGGTGGTAAGTAAGTTACATTTTTAACCCCAAAGATAAACCAAAACTAGAGAAGAAATCTTAGGAGTTAATAAGCTGAAACATAAGTGAATGAAGAATACTATACTGCGGATGGCTAACGTATAACGTTTATAAAACAAATTATAGAAACAAAAAGTTTACTAGCTAATATTTGCTTTATAAGACTTGTAGATTTATATTTCCAGAATGTAGTACATATAATTCTAGACCTATCTAGATGATTCTTTTCTAACTTCTAATATTAATATTAAACTAGCTAGATGACTATATTGCTTTAATTTGATAAAATGTTTTAAAAAATTAATATTAATCGATACAAAAAACCAAAAAAAAAAGAAAGAAATTAAGAGTGGTGGCCTAGCACCTAAAACACCATACAAATCAATTTTTAGAACACTAACATTCTTTTCACATAACACAAATATTTAATAATAGTTTCTTATGTATATTATATGATAGAAAGTCTCTAAGCAATGAATACTTTGTTAATTTGTCCCCTTGACACACAAAGCAATTTTTTTAATTGACACAGACTCAGCCGAAATGAAATGAAATGGTTAAGGCAAAGCCTAGCTACAGTTGTCTTCGAGTTGAAAACTGGTTTTAATGAGAACATGGAACATAAATTGAAAATTATAATATTGAGTTTAAAGTATAGTTCCAATACTTAAATAAATAATTAAGAAGGTCAAACACTTATACAGCTAGCTGGTGTGCTCCTTTCCGGCTCTATAGGAAGTTTAGGAACTCTTCATCCTCGAGAATCTTAATTAAACAAACTATTTCCCTAATTTTTTTTTGTGGTTGCCAACATATTTTTTATTTTTATATATTGTCAACTATTTCTCATATGTGTTGAACTTAACTTTTTTTTGCCCCATTCTCCATACGCTGAAAATTTATAGGTTATATAGGAAAAAACAAATACTAGATTAAATACATTTGATTTCTATGGTTAGGTGTTAATTGTTAAAGAGCCATTTGCCTGCCCATGAGCTGCCTCAAGTCAGCTCGAATTTGAACTATTTTTTATACTCGTTTAAAATATAAGATTTATAAGTTAACTATAACCATTTACACTACCTTTGAATAATATGATTTCTTATCTTTACAATATAGTTAAATACAGTACATATTAAAAAAAAATCTGTTTTTTATTTTTACGGTTTTATCAAACATTTCTTCTATGAATGCTAATAATAATAAAAATCTTTGATCGCATGATAAAAACTCAAACAGTCCAGGTCCAGCGAGCCAGCAAGATTGTATTCTATAACGCTTTCTCATGTCGGCTCTCTCCGTCTATCCCATTTTTGTTAGACACTCCTTATAATCTTGGGCATATTAAGAGAGAAAAACATTTCTCGTTAACTTAGAATGAATGTACATGATGATGTTTATATACAAGGATTATAAGCTAACTGACTTTATTCAGTATCTATATACAGATTTTATATTGCATATATGAAGTATGAATACATGTTAATTATACACAACTTTTTATTTGATTTTTGTATTTTTTTCATATTCTCGTAAAGTTAATTATGTATATTTTTTTATATAATCTGATTTTGTTGGAAGTAATTAAGTGTAGCGTTTACTTAGGATTAGCTTTCGAACTAATTCATTTAACTCACGACTTAGTTAGATGAAAGTTAAAATTGATAGATATAATTTCAAATAATAAATAAACTAATTAAGTGAAATACTCTAATTTGTGATGAGCTGAGCTGACTTGCGCGAATTAGTTCATTTTACAAAACGACATCAATAATTTCATGTTAAGGCTAAACATAGCATTTTAATTCGAAAGGTACTAAAATGCTTAATAGTATTTATGATATCTAGGTTTACTAGTTTTTTTTTTTTGCATTTTTTAAATGAAGACTAGGTTTACTTGTTGTAACAAAGCTTATGTGAAGATTAGTTTGGCGTTATAAGATGCATGTGTAAATCTGATAAAGTTAATTTCTTATAAATCTGTTTAAGTGATTTGTGTTGAAAGAGTTTTGAGGTTTAGTTGAGGATCGAGTCTAATGAAATTCATGTCTATTTCGCTTTTTTTGTTTATATTTTTTTTTTAATAAAAGTTTGCTATTACTGAAATATCATGGTAATCCACATCTTTTGAAACTTAGAAACATGTAAACTCGAGAATTTATAAATTCTAGATGAAAACAAAACATCATACATATATATATATATATATATATATATATATATAGTTAGTACTTTGGTATTTTTTCCGAATGCATTATGCATCTATCTGAGTTCAAATGTGTTTTTTTTTCAAACTCTGTTCAGGGTTCAATATTTTTTTTTTGTTGTTCACCAAATCTTGGTTTAATGTTGAAAAAACGAAAATTGTAGAATGTGAATTTAAAGTTTTATTAAAAAGAAATCTGACCGTTGATTCAGATTCTAGAGTCAGAAAGGAACATGAATGCTATTATGAAAACATACGTACATATCGTGTTTGTGAACTGTTTTGGTAGGTTATACTTATTTCCCAAGTGGGGATATGCTTTAGAAAGTATTACCACCCTACCACTCTATAATTTCAAATATACACTTATACGATATGAATTAAACGCAAAAATAGGATAATACAAGTGTGAACTGCAACCCTTTTTCGTCAAATTTCTTCGGGAACAAGTGATTGACTATCAATCAAACTTGAGACTATTTTCACATAAATAAGATTTATTTATTTAATTATTTTCTCCATACTTGGTTTTGGTACATGATATGTATGATACTTACAAGTTGAACCAGAAAATTACAAGTGGCTAATTAATTTCTAAAAATGCCACAAATTTTAGGGGTGCAATTGGGCAAGTTACATATATTACTGCTTTGTTTATTTTATTCTTCACGATTATAATACCAATTATTTTCATCACTACTAAATAAATAAAAAGATAGTTCAGATATTTTTTTTTTGTTTTTTGCTACACTGATACACCGGGTCATAAATTGAATCGCGGAAATCAAGATTATTCTGTTGTATCGTATCCGCACACGAGGTTATTTAGGTAAATATATCTAGGTGGAGCTCGGAGATTCTTGTTTAAATAGAGGTGAGATCGATATGATGTTTTCGAGGTGATATTACGAGGTCAAGTAAACGAGATAAGAGTTGAAGATTTTAAGTATCGAGTGTTTTAGTCTCTATTTCAGATTACGGATCCCGTAATAAATGAAGTTACAGGGCTATTTATAGTGTTGAGATTAGGTTACATCTCGGTCAGACTAGCTTGGGCGGCCGGGTAGATAGACCTGACCGACCGTCTATCGAAACGTCGTGCTGGTGAGCTGTTTCATCTCCGCTGACGTGGTGAGCTGTCCCATCCATGTCGATGTGGCGAGCTATCCCATCCGTGTCGAGGTAGCGAGCTGCTCCTTTGATATGAAAAGGTCATCTTCCCAAACGACCTCGCTTTACCCTTTGCGAATGGGCTTGTTGACCTATGACCTTAATGGGCTTTTAGCGAAATTACGAAAAAAGGGGGCTGTGCTCAGCCCACCTACAACAATTGTCCCCCCCCAGTCCGTTGATGGAGATGTTACTTCGATATTCAACGCATCGAGCTGGAGAACTTTCATTCTTGTGGACCTCGATATCGATGTGGGGTCTTCGGAGTCGAGGTGATACTTGGAAACGGTTGTCGCAAAGAGCAACGGTTGTCTTGGACAGTGAAGGGTTGCAAAAGGAAACAGTCATCTTGGGCTACGAAGAGTCGCAAAAGGCAACGGTCGTCTTAGGCAGTGAAGAGTCGCGAGTGGAGGCGTAGTTTTCGGGAAGCGCGTGGAATCCGTCGCTAAATAAAGTACTGGGAAGCGTCCGGATCATGATTGCTTTCCTCGGTAACCGCTGTTTTTTCTTCCTTATATATTATGCTCTCCTCCTCTTCTTCTCATTTTCTTCTCCGCTTACAAAAGGTAATCTTGCTCTCCTTTCTCTCTAGAATTCCTTTCTCTCTCTAGCACTCGTCTTTGTGTTATTTTGCTTTTATTGTCATCCGACATCCAGTAATGTCTTCGGGGGGTCAGTGCATCGAGTCGAGCTTAGAGTCTGGCTCTAGGTCTGAACAATAAGCCTCTGGGAGTTCTAGCTCCTCTCCTGAGGTGTCTTCGAGGTCCGACATCCAATCGGATCAAGGAGAATCTCCGTTGGTCGAATTGGCGGATCGAGTTCGTTCCGACGGGGCGTCTCCGCGAGGTGAAACTGTGACGGATCTTCAAATAGTTCCTTTCGAGGAAGAAGATCGTGATGGGAAGGCTGTGGAGCGTGTTGAGGAAGAGGTCGATGAAGGGGGTGAAGAAGAAGACGGTCAGGGCGAGGAAGAGGAACAAAGTGAGGAGGCCAAACCTCGACGTAAAGGTTCCAAGCGCAAGGGAGCCATCAGGAATCGACTAGTCAACATTTCTTCACAGATGACGGCTCAACGCCTCGAGGAATTTCAGTTGCGGTAAGGTTTTCGAGGCGAGCTGATGGCGTCGGGGCCTGAAGATCGACCATGGCACGCACCAGTGGGTTGGGTCACGCTCTACGAAGCGTGGTTCAGCCTTTGTCATCTCTGGATGCCTCTGCCGAGGTTGTTGACGGATTACGTCCATTGTCGAGGCATTGCGTTCTCGCAAATCCTTCCAGCGGGGATTCGGTTCATGGTCGCGGCCCTGTTATTTGGGAGCGAGGTTGGGGTCGACGTGGACTGGCGTTTCTTCGAGGAGATGACTACGGTTCAGAAGAACAACTCGATCCCGGGCACATATACGATAAAGGCAAGGAAAGACTGTTCCTTGGTTTATCCCGTCAACAGGACGCCAAGCTGGGAGGCGTCTTTCTTTTTCGCCAAAGTGGACGAGGCGTTGGTCGTCGATACGACCAGAGATTTTAGGAACGAGTGGAGCCATAGCATCGGTAGATCGCTAATTCGGTCGTATTTCGAGTTTTCCCTTTCTTTTGCTGATGTTTCCTCATTTTTCTTTTGCAGATCGAAACGTCCAGCTCGAAGCTTTCCCGGAGAATTTCCACGTGAATATCCAGAAGATTAGGGCTGTTGGGATACAACATTGGCCTGACATTCATCGCCGAAGAGTCGAGGCTGCCATTTCTCGTATTACGAACAGTAAGTTCGATGTCGTCGATATTTCAAGTCGAGCTTTTATGTCGTCTAACATGTTCTTTTATTTCAGCTAGTTGGAGAAGAGAAAATTCTCTAAGGGAGAGAGCGATTGCGATGGCTCCTATTCAAGTCAACGCGCCCAGCCTCGCTGCACGCTTGAAGGCCAAGAAGAGCGGGAGTAAGGATCGAGGTCCTTCCGCATCTCGGCCTGCACGCACAGATCCAGTGCCGACCCAAGAAGAGGTTGAGGTCGTTACTCAACGCGACGTAAATCTCGAGGCCGCAACAGAAGGTGGGGTCGAGGCTCAGAGTGCCGATGACCAAGTGTCTACTCAACAAGTTGACGATGGAGCCGATGAAGCCACGTAGTCAGCGAGGCGCGAGGAGAAGAAACAAAAGAAGAGGAAACGCGAGGAGAAGAAACGGAAGGAGGAAGCCGAGGCTGCTCGCCTCGCCGAGAAGAAGAAGTTCGCCGAGGCTAAGGCGAAAGGAAAAAAGAAGAAACCTTCCGGGGATGGTGACGAGGGCGGTCAAGTTGGATCGGAGGCTGCGAGCAAACGGCCTAGGGTTGATCCAGCTGGCGACGACAAAATCAAGGAGATCGACTGGAGCTTCAAGTTTGAATACCCTGAGTCGAGTGAGCCGTTTGTCAACAACGTCGACAAATGTGCTGAGCTATTTGGGATGATAAGAGGCTCCACTTCCGAGGTCCCTCCTGGTACCGATGGGGCTTTCAAGGATATGGCGAGCTTCGCCTTCAAGGTATGTTTGGAATCTTCTCTTTACGCTTTAATAATCTGTGAGCTCGACTGATATATTTTTTTTTATCTTTATTTTCAGTTCATTGCGAGCTGCAATCGCGCGAGGGGGCAATACATGCGCTGGCTCCGGAATGGTGCAGCTCGGCTGAAGGATGCCCAGGCTGCTGGGGAAAGAGCGGTGAAGGAACGTGACTCCGCTATCGAGCAGCAAAAGGTTGCCGAGGATAATTGGCAAACGATGAAAAGAAAGGCGGAACAGCTCAATGCCGGGGTGAAGGAGCTGACAGATAAGATCGAGGCGATGAAGCAGGAGAATCTGGACTTAGTCAACAATCTTCAAATTGTTAATGAGGCTAAGATCCAGGTCGAGAAGTCGATCGCCATTGAGGTCGTCCGGGCACAGCGACAAGCTGATGAGAGGATCGAAGCAGAGACGAACCGAATTTGGGCGGATGCCGAGGCATAGAATTCCGGGCGCATCGATCAGCTGAGGATTCGGGTTGCTCAACAGGAGGCGATTGAGAAGGTTAAGCTCGATCTGGTTCAGGCTCGAGGTACATTGGAGTGCCTTGATCTCTTGAAGGAGCAAGAGGCGTCCGAAGCAGAGTTGAGAGCTGAGCTGGAATCGTCGAAGCGCGATTGCGAACAGAAGCTCGAGAACCTCAGCTTCACGGACCTCGAGGAAGGCGACTTGCCTCCGGCTTACCCTGAAACTCCAGATGATGGTTCGGATCGAGATGATGCTGAGGACGAAGAGAACCGCGAGGGCGGCAGCGAGCCTGAAGACTAGATCCTACTTGCCTTTTTCTCGTTTGTTATTGCTTTTTTCTTTTGACTTTTTTTTATTTAGCCGCGCTTGTAAGGACTCGACCTGTTTAATTTAATTAATGCTCACGATTTAATTTATAAAGAAAAAGTAAATACGAGGTATTTTTAAGCAAAACAAAACGACCAATGTGAATATCGTCAGTACATTTGAGATGAAATGCTTAATACGAGGTGAAAATTGGTTCAAAAAGATTGGAACGAAGTGAGAACTTACTTAATACTTACGAGTGATAGGCGTGAGACTTGACCTAAGAAAATAATGGATGCGAGGTACGAGATGCGAGATAAAACTTAGTAAAATAATAGGTGTGAGGTAAAACTCGGCTTAAGGGAAAAATAGGTGCGAGGTGAAACTCGGCTTACGGGAACAATAGGTGTGAGGTATGACTCGGCTTACCCTGTTTTATTTCATTAATCGTGTCCGAATAGTGAGAATGATCTCGACGTAGTTATTCAGGTGATTTAAGAAAGGATGTGGGACTGGTCCCGGCTTATTCTCTCACAATCGTAAGGTTTTTGTTCCGTAGGATTGATTAAGAGTTTGCATTGTAGGGAAATGCGTATTAGAGGATCGAACATCTAGCTAGGATGTCGATGTGAAAGATGTCGAAGTGAAAGATGTCGAAGTGAAAGATGTCGAAGTGAAAGTTCGTATAAATAAAATTTTATTAACAGCTGTACCTCGTAAGAGGTTGCCTACGTACCCAACAAACTGGGATCAAGCCGATCGTAGTTCACATTCGAGATATAGCTCGACCGAGTATAGCTCGGTGAGCGTCCTTTTTTTTTTTTTTTTTTTTATTCTAGTAGTAGTACCGCTTGATGTTCATCGAGTTCCAAGATCGAGGTATCATTTCGCCGTCCATCGTCATCAGCTCGTAAACGCCAGGTTTTACAACGTTGGTGATTTGGTAGGGGCCTTCCCACTTTGCGCCTAGTTTTCCGGCGCGGTATTCTTCGGTATTCTCGAACACCTTTCGAAGGACGAGGTCGCCGGCTTCGAAGTGCCTTCCTCTCACGCGTTTGTTGTAGTATCGTGAGATTTGCTGCTGATAATTTTGCATACGTAACAGGGCGTGATCGCTCCTCCTCGAGCATGTCGAGGCTATCTTTCATCATTCTTCCGTTTTTTTTATCGTCTTGTGTCAACATCGTTCTGCGTATGGTTGGTAGACCAACCTCGGCGGGGGCTAAGGCTTCCATGCTGTGAGACAATGAGAAAGGGGTTTTATTCGTCGATCTACGCGGTGTAGTTCGATGTGACCATAGGACTCCGTCCAGTTCGTCCGCCCATAAGCCTTTCTTATCTTCGAGTCTTTTTTTGATGCCGTCGAGGATGGTTTTGTTGGTTGCCTCGGCCTGGCCGTTTCCTTGTGGATATCGCGGTGTAGACTTGCTAAGTCGTATTCTCCATTTGGCGCAGAAATCCTCGAAGACATCAGAGATAAATTGAGGGCCATTATCGGTGATGATCTCGTAAGGTAATCCATGGCGGCAGATGATGTTCTTCCAGACGAAGTTCTTCACATCGGTTGCCTTAATTTTGGGCCATTATCGGTGATGATCTCGTAAGGTAGTCGTTTCGTTGATTTGAATTCCTGACATTATCGAGCTCCTCTTTGCGTAGAAAGAAATCTCTTAGCCCCACGGTGGGCGCCAATTGTTGTATCGTATCCGCACACGAGGTTATTTAGGTAAATATATCTAGGTGGAGCTCGGAGATTCTTGTTTAAATAGAGGTGAGATCGATATGATGTTTTCGAGGTGATATTACGAGGTCAAGTAAACGAGGTAAGAGTTGAAGATTTTAAGTATCGAGTGTTTTAGTCTCTATTTCAGATTACGGATCCCGTAATAAATGAAGTTACAGGGCTATTTATAGTGTTGAGATTAGGTTACATCTCGGTCAGACTAGCTTGGGCGGCCGGGTAAATAGACCTGACCGACCGTCTATCGAAACGTCGTGCTGGCGAGCTGTTTCATCTCCGCTGACGTGGCGAGCTGTCCCATCCATGTCGAGGGGGCGAGCTATCCCATCCGTGTCGAGGTGACGAGCTGGTCCTTTGATATGAAAATGTCATCTTCCCAAACGACCTCGCTTTACCCTTTGCAAATGGGCTTGTTGACCTATGACTTTAATGGGCTTTTAGCGAAATTACGAAAAAAGGGGGCTGTGCTCAGCCCACCTACAACATACTCCACTATGTCATTAGACTCATTACCACAATGTATGAGCATAACCATTATGTTATATCTTTAACAAACAAAAATAACCATTCTGTTTTAAGTTATAGTTTGTGATTCCAAATGAAGAATTACCTGAACAAAATCAGAAGCAATTGTAAAATGTAGTGAAGATTGGCATACGTGATAATGTGGACGGTTCTGATTTGAGAAAAGATAGTAAAGCATTCTAAAGAACCGGTCCGGACCGGACCGGATCAGTTAATTAAGTACCACGACATTCTCTACTTACAAAGTTACAAATACTCTAGTTGTATACGTCATGTAATCGCAAAATATTATTTCTGTAGATAATATAACATAACTATTCCACGTGATACATTGAAAATTTCTCAAAAAAATTTCGCATAAGTTAGATTTGAAATAAAAAAAGCGCAAAAATTGGATTTGAAATCAAAAAGCCTTATGGAGTTGAATAAGTATAATATATAACCGTATCATTAATAAAAATTGTTCAGTAATACAGAATCATCTGATCCCAGTATTCAAAATATTTCCCTAAATGATAAGCCGATTCAACTCATCCCTCTATATATACTTAATCAGAGACATAAAATTCCTAAAATTAAAGAAGAAACAAAAGTTCAAAATTCCCAATTATTTCCATAAGAATAAGTATTATCCTTCTTTTAGTACTTTAAATCCTATAAGTGATATCTTGTAAATACCCGCCTGCTTGTAGTTTATAAACTAGAACTTACTTTTTGGGGAAGCAAAGATCTGATGCATTAGTTTTCGATGAGAGCTTTAAATGTTGAAGAGATATGTGGCAGCTTCTTTGGAGGTGATTTCGAAGGGAAAAGGAAAGCCGATAGGGGGCTTAGCTGCAACTGGCTTGACCGGAAAAGTAGTCGAAGAAGGAGATGGTCGGTGACTAGGTGAAGAAGGAGATGGTCGGTGACTTGGCGAATAAGTAACCTCGGCAGTGTCAGTAGCAGAAGCAAGAGCAGGCAGCTTAGGCCATGAGTAACTCCCCACAGGCCTGCAGACTCTGAAACCAGTGTTGTTTATAAGTGAAAGTGGTGATCTTTGTTCTTGTCGATCATCACTTTTGCCCTTTTGAGGTGACTCTGTGATTTGGTTTTCCGTGTTCACTTCTAGTGTCTTCATTTTTGGTGAATCCTCTAGTAGCAGAGGCATCTCTGTTGAGTCTGGCTTTTTAGGACACTTTTCTTCCACTGTTCTCTTAAGCAATCCCATGTCTTCCTGCATTTGCATTCGTAAAACACACACAAATGTTTCATCATCATTCATTTACCAACAAAGTTGTAATGGACACATTTAACATGGTATTCACTGACATTATTTCCTAGTTTTCTCGTTATCTGTTACTGATCAGGGGTTTATGTTTTCTGATTAATGAATAGTTACGACATCATAGCAAATTTAGAAGGTTTCACTTTTTTTGGATAATGGTTCAGCTACAACTAGAAAGAGGAGTGTTTGTATATATATGTACCTCCATTTTAAGCAAGGTTTCTGAAATTATCACTAGCTGGTCCTCAATTTTGTATTTCTTCTTCAGCAGAGTGGAATAGATTTCCTGACATGAAGCATCAGAGATGTTAAGCATCAAATTAGAGAGTTATCACAAGATAGAGATCAGTTAGTGTTTCAAGCTCTTTACCATTGCTGGAGTCATCAGGTTATCATGGTCCACGTTCTGACTAGTAACACAAGAATTAGGTGTAGTCATGAGAACAAGCTCCTCCTCTTCCTTATTCGAAGCGAGTTTCTCCAAATCTCTGCTCAAGACCAAGACACACATGAGTTACAATTGCTATAAAGACAACAACAAGAGATCGATTTTCATATAACCAACCCAATAAGTTAGCTTTCTACCTTTTCAAGCTAGCTAATCCTTCCCTGAGCTCACGGATTTCTCCAGCGCAGACAGGGTCTTGAGTAGGATTATCACCAAGCTTCCAACCAGGTGGAGGTGTCCAATAAGGATCTTCGACTCCTGCTTCTTTCCTTAAGTGAATCAAATCAGAACTCTCCAACCAATACTCCATTGCTCCATCTGCATTGTGTTTTCTCCTAAACCTATCTTGACCTCCAGGAGCTACCTTCCCTGCCATGTGCTTAAGCAGATG